TGGAGTGCAGTGGTACGATCTCGGCTCACTGCAACCTCCGCCTCCCAGATTCATGCCATTCTCCTGCCTTAGCCTCCTGAGTAGCTGGGACTACAGGCACCCGCCACCACTAATTTTTATATTTTTAGTAGAGACGGAGTTTCGCCATGTTGGCCAGAATGGTCTGGATCTCTTGACCTTGTGATCCTCCAGCCACAGCCTCCCAAGTGCTGGGATTACAGGCATGAGCCACTGTGCCCAGCCTAAATTATTTAGTTTTAATTGTGGGAAATATACATAACATGAAATTTACCATTTTAACCACTTTTAAGTGTTTAGTGGCATTAGGTCCACTCACATCATTGTGCAACTGTCACTACCGTCTGTCTCCAGAAGGATGAACTCTTTTCATGTTGCAAAACTGCAGCCAGCCCGGTGCGGTGGCTCACACTTGTAATCCCAGCACTTTGGGAAGCAGAGGCGGGCAGATCACCTGAGGTCAGGAGTTCGAGACCAGCGTGGCCAACAAAGTGAAACCCCATCTCTGCTGAAAATACAAAAAGTAGCTGGATGTGGTGGCATACGTCTGTAATCCCAGCTACTCAGGGGGCTGAAGCAGGAGAATCGCTTGAACCCGGGAGGCGGAGGTTACATTGAGCCGAGATGGGGCCCACTGCACTCCAGCCTGGGCAGCAGAGTGAGATTCCATCTCAAAAAAAAAAAAAAAAAAAAAAAAGAATTTCCTGGGGTTTAAATACCTTCTAGAGGTTTCCATTGGTTAGTCGGTGTATGTCCTATGTAAATGAAGAGGTTAAAGTGGAGTTACAAAGTCATTTACTCGGGGTACACCCTATGTAAATGAAGAAGATATTTCCTGTCATAGCTGAAGTGTTTGCATTTTTTTCATTCTTAGGTTCCCTGCTTCCAGGCCCTATTATCCCACCTCAGTGGGTCTGTGCACAAGGCTGGGGAGAGGCCCAAGCACTCTGTGCATGGGAGCCAGAGCTGGGGGAGCCTCCCGCCAGAGGGCCCTCCAGGGTGGGGAGGGAGCAGCCCTGGGGATGGGGGCAGTCATGGCCACAACCTCACGTTCCTTTTCCAGGGCAAGCGCATGAGAAAGCAGACTTGGAGCTATTTCCGCAGCAAGTGGAACCTTCTGGAGCTGGCCATCATCCTGGCCAGCTGGAGTGCCCTGGCGGTGTTTGTGAAGAGGGCTGTCCTGGCTGAAAGGGATCTCCAGCGCTGCCGGAACCACAGGGAGGAGTAAGTGGCTGTCTCCTCAGCCCCCGGGCTCCCCATACTGGCCCCTCTTCCTACAGCTCCGTTTGAGGCCCATGGGTCAGAAGGAGGTTTTGGGATGCTGTGGACGCTCAGGGGATAAAGGGGCATGCCTAGCAGACATAACTCTAGCTGCCACCTAGATTCAGGTGTGGGGCCAGCTGCAAGTGAGTACGATTGGAAATGACTCAGACAAAATAGAACATCTTGTGCAAATCTTCCCAAAATATAGGGCCATGTGGCATCCTGCTTAGGCTCCTCTTGGCCTTTGGGGGAGGCCCTTTGCAAGTATTAGGGCCCCAGTAAGCTCACCTGTAATCCCAGCACTTTGGGAGGCCGAGGCAGGTGGATCACGAGGTCAGGAGTTCGAGACCAGCCTGGCCAACATAGTGAAACCCCGTCTGTACAAAAAATACAAAAATTAGCTGGGTGTGGTGGTGTGCACCTGTAATCCCAGCTACTGGGGAGGCTGAGGCAGGAGAATGACTTGAACCAAGGAGGCAGAGGTTGCAGTGAGCTGAGATCATGCAAGCCTAGATCAGCCCTAGGACCAATGGAAGGACACTAAGTGTCCACTATGTGGTAGGCAGGATGTATGCACCTGAGGAAACATCATCAGAATTGATGAAGGTCAGTGTTATCATCGCCTCATTTAACAAAGACATTGAGGGCAGGCACTTAGGGTGTTTTGTTTTCAGAGTCTGGCTTTGTCATCCAGGCTGGAGTGCAGTGGCGTGATCTCAGCTCACTGTAAACTTTGCCTCCTGGGTTCAAGCTATTCTTGTGCCTCAGCCTCCCGAGTACCTGGGATTACAGGTGTACACCGTAATTCCCAGCATCCTCCTCCTCCTCCTCCTTCTCATCATCATCATCACCGCCCTGGGGGAACTGGGACGCCTCTCTTTCCCAGACCTGTTTCTGGACCTGATAGCCTATGAGATGATGATAAAACTAATCCCACCTCCTGAAATGCCGATCAGTCTAATCTGGCATCCAGATGAGTTCCGGCTGAACTGCTCAAGGTCTCTGAGACGCAGCCATCCCATTCTGATCCCACAGAGGCATCAGCTTCAGTGACACAGCAGCAGCCGATGCCGCCCTTGGCTACATCATCGCCTTCCTGGTACTCCTGTCCACAGTGAAGCTTTGGCATCTGCTCAGGTTGAATCCCAAAATGAACATGATCACGGCAGCCCTACGCCGTGCCTGGGGCGACATTTCAGGCTTTATCATTGTCATCCTTACCATGCTCCTGGCTTACTCCATCGCAGTAAGTATCTGCTTTGGGACAAGCTTAGGGTGGGTCTCTGCAGAAGCCAAGGCTAATTGGTGGTGGGAAGTGGACAGTTAGGGTTAGGGAGACCCTGGGAACCCAAGGAAGGTGGTGGCTCTTCTGAGTACAGGGTCTCTTCGCTGTGAGCTCATGCACCAGTCATCTCAAATGGCAAAGGCTGGAGAGCTCAGGTGGGTAGGGTGAGGAGGTATAGGCTCTAGTGCTGAAATGCTCCAGGTTCAGGAAGAATTCCTTTCTACCTCTAGACCCCTCCTGGATGTGCCAGTTCTCCTGGCTTCCCAACTGGTCAGAAGGCACAGGGCTAACTCCTAGACACAGACACAGCACTGCTGCCATGCTGGGGGATGGATGGGGCCACCACGTCCTTGAGTTGGGGCAGAGGTGGGGACGTGAAGGTAGATACATCCACAGGCCTTGCCAGTGCTTGTTGTCCAAGATGTGACCCGTGAACTTGGGAGGGCCGATGCCACTTCACTCAGCACTTTAACAGTGAGAGCACATTGACAAGCATGGCCCTGTGTGACTAGAAAACATAAATGAAAACATGAAATTGTTTTGTTTTGTTTTGTTTCATTTTGTTCTTTTGAGACGGAGTCTTGTTCTGCTGCCCTGGTTGGAGTGCAGTGGCACGATC